GCCAGCCAACCCTGCCCCTCTTCTCCCCGACTACCCAATGTTGTAGAAGCCTCATCTCCATTCCCTCCCTGCCCAGACACCGCCTCAGCGCCAGCCTGGCCCTCTGCCCCCTGACATTGCTTCCACCTGTGCAGGCCGGCTCTCTTGGAGTCTCTCAGCCACCACCGTCTCCCTCCTCTTGCCTCTGCCAGTGCTCTGCAGCTCTACCCTGTTCTCTCTTCACTCTGTAATTTCCCCCCACCCCATGCGCTCCCCTCTCCTGGCTTTAGTGAACCACCCACAGACCAGTTGCGCCCAAATCCCCCGTTATAGTCTAGGCATCTCTCCAGACCCACAAGTCGAGGGTCTCTGAGGGGACAGTCCTCTGAGATGCTGTCTAGGCACTTCAGACTCAACGTGTGCTCTGCTGAGACTTCTCCTGGGTTCTCTACCAAGTCCACGAGGTGAGACACCCAGGCCCACACTCACCTCTTGTGGGGGGAGGTCAGATGCGCAGGCATTCCCCCCACTGAGGGCAATCAGTTGCCAGACTGCTGTCTCATCCCTCCACAGGGGTGGGCCTGCTCCCTGCCTCTGGGGACAATGGACAGGCTCCTGTAGGCGGAGTTTGCACCCTACTGATAATGTTCCTATGGAGACCCAGAGACCACCCCAGAGACCACCCTCTCATTGCTGTGTAGCCTATAGTGCAACCCCTCCCTGTGATGTATGTCTCTACCTGTAATTAGTGGCCTGGCATGCCCCCAAAAGGTATATAGGCATGGGTCAGCAATATAGGCGGGAACTTCTCTCTGACTCTGAGCTCCTTGCTGCTCACTCCCTGGTCACTCCCCTCTCCCTTGTTCCCTTTCCCTCCTTCCCTTCCCCCTCTATCCACGTGGACCACCAAGCTGGGCTGAGGTGAGCAATGTTGCTATGTATCATGCCTGACTGTATTATTGTATTATCTCTCATGCTCTCAATGACTTTAATATAATGCTTATATATCTCAACCATACAATTGTGCATTAGTGAACCCAGACGTAGTATTACTGAACCAGTGAGTTCTAGTACCGGGCGGGGCTGGCACCTCACCCCCCAGCAACAATTTTATTTAATACTACAACCTGTTCCCTCTCCCCACACACCACGCCCAGTCATTGACGTCTGTTCACCCACAGTCTCCCTCCTGCCCAGGCTGCCATCAGCGGTCAGGTGGGCTCCCATGCTCTCTTCTTTTTTTTTAATCGTTTTATTAGGGCTCCTACAGCTCTTATCACAATCCATGCATGCATCAATCGTGTCAAGCACATTTGTACATTCATTGCCCTCATTCTCAAAACATTGGCTCTCCACTTAAGCCCCTGGCATCAGCTACTCATTTTTCCCCTCCCTCCCCGCTCCCCCCTCCCTCATGAGCCCTTGATAATTTATTATTTATTATTTTGTCATATCTTACCCTGTCTGACGTCTCCCTTCACCCGCTTTTCTTTTGTCCATCCCCCAGGGAGGAGGTCACATGTAGATTCTTGTAATCGGTTCCCCCTTTCCAACACACTCTCCTTCTACGCTCCCAGTATCGCCACTCATACTGCTGGTCCTGAAGGGATCATCCGCCCTGGATTCCCTGTGTTTCCAGTTCCTACCTGTACCAGTGTATATCCTCCAGTCTAGCCAGACTTGCAAGGTAGAATTCGGATCATGATAGAAACTAGAGGAAAGTTGTATTTTTCATCGTTGCTACATCACACCCTGACTCGCTCGTCTCCACCCCGAGACCCTTCTGTAAGGGGATCTCCAGTGGCCTACACATGGGCTTTGGGTCTCCACTCCGCACTCCGCCCCTCATTCACTATGATAAGATTTTTTTGTTCTGAGGATGCCCGATACCTGATCCCTTCGACACCTCATGATCTTCTACCAGGTCTCCACCTCTCTCCGGCAGACCTTTCTTCATCCAGCCAACTTGGGGGAACACAAATCTGACCAAAGGATCGGAAGCCCGACCAGGGCTCCCCACTGGGCTCCAGATGAAGGGCGCTTCTCACCTGGATGTTCAGCTTTCCCTCCTTCTGCCCTTGCCTTCAAATGTTCCTATCCAGCAACAGTTCGCCGGGTGAGATTCTCCCCTTCATATGCCACTTCTAACTTGCTCATGCAGTTTTCTCTCTCAGGACCAACCTCCCCTCGCTTTGCCAACCATCTCCCCCCAAACTTCTCCACATCCTTGAGAACCCCCTTAGGTGCCCAGAGCCTGAGTTAGGGGGCCGTGTGGCCCGGGTCCTGCTATCCAGCCCTTGGCTCACCTTGCTGGTGTGTGCACCAAGCTGGTGTGCAGCAAGTCTCTCCCTCAGGACTCAGGGCCAGAAGGGTGACATCAGTGCCTTTCACCTGGTCACAGGTCTGGCGTCAGGCTAAGGAGATGTTAATGAGAGAATATAGGCGAGGAAACAGAAAACCTCACTGCCATCAAGTGGATCCCAACTTACAGTGAGCCTGTAGGGCAGACTAGAACTGTCATGGTGGATTTCCCAGACTACAGATCTTTAAGGGAGCAGAAAGCCTCATCTTTCTCCTATAGAGCGGAGGGTAGTTTCAAACCGCTGACCTTTTGGTTGGCAGCCCAACATGATGCCACCAGGGCTTCTAGACAACCACTTAGAGCAGCGGTTCTCAACCTTCCTCATGCTGCAACCCTTTCATGTGGTGGTGACCCCCCAACCAGAAAATTATTTTCATCGCTAATTCATCACTGTCATTTTGCTACTGTTATGAATCGGGTGACCCCTGTGAAAGGGTCTTTTGACCCCCCAAAGGGGTTGCGACCCACAGGTTGAGAACCGCTGACTTAGAGCAATGTAAAACTCTGCTGGATCTGCTTATCAATGCATAAGACAAGTCTTGGGTGAATGGCACTCAGAAAGTTCTGGATCAACAGGAGGAGGTGTTGATGGATTTAGCATCTCTCCCATGGCAAAGAAAAGGCTTGGTGTGAACACTTTAGGCTTCCAGAAAGCCCACCAGATAAGCCAAGAGGCAGCCTGGCTTAAAGCATCGGGAACAGTCGGCAAGAAAGCCCATCCCTGCAAGAGCCCTCAGAGCTGCCTTGACATCAGAGTCCTGCCTCCACCCCTGCTCCAGCATGAGCGGCCTTGCGCATGAAGAAGGCCCCCAGGGAGAGGACATTGGAGCAGGGCTGCAGAATGACGGGGTCCTCGTGTGAAGGGCGGAACTTCTTGGGTTCTCTTACATCAGTGGTTCTCCACCTTCCTCATGCCGCCACCCTTTCGTACCATTCCTCATGCTGTGGTGACCCCCAACCAGAAAGTTATTTTTGTCGCTACTTTATCACTGTAATTTTGCTACTGTTATGAATCATCATGTAAATATCTGATAGATAGGATGTATTGTCATTGTTACAAATTGAACATCATGAAAGCATAGTGATTCGTCACAAAAACAATATGTAATTATATATTGTGAAATATTTATTTCTCGTGACAAATCAATGACATTTTGTCTTGAAGCATGGTGTAGCATGGGAAACAGTCTTCATGCCGGGTACTCGTAGGTGGGTGTATCTGCATGTGGGCGGACCCGCCTGGAGACGGATAGAGTAGTGGTGTCTCGGTTCCTAAGACCACTGGAAATACGTGTTTGATGATGGTCTTTGGCGAGCCCTGTGAAAGGGTCGTTTGACTCCCAAAGGGGTCATGACCCACAGGTTGAGAACTGCTGCCTTACATTCAAAGCCTTCTCAGAACTGTCCCCGGCGCCCCAAGTAAGCCCATGGGGTGAGCAAGCAAGGCTGAAATGCGGAGTCTTCCCTGATAGGGACAGCGGGAGGCTGTATCGGGAAGACATGGATGTCTTTGACTCCAGGGACAGAGGAAGGTTCCAGCCATGTCCCTCAAACTCCAGACTCTCAACCAGGCCCCTGGGTAGCAGCGGGAGTCCGTGGGGGAGGGATGACGCCTGTCCATCAATGTGAGTGGCATTAGGTGGGCTGCTTAGCAGACTCCCCAGACCTTGAAAAATCTCAGGGACAAGACCAAAGTCCGAGAGACAGTATCCAGGGCCCTCTAAGTGACTGCCGTGGGCAGAACGCCAGCCAACGTGCCACTGCCCACCCTTCTCGCTGAGAGTTCCATTCAGGACCGGGGAGAGGGGAGCCCTGAAAATGTGGGCGGATGGAGGCCAGCTGTCGTGGGGAGCACCAGCCTGGGAGTCAGCAGGCCTGGGTTCTAGCCCAGGTGTCACCACTCATCACCAGGAGGCTTTGGGGAAGAGAGTTGCCAATCTTGAGCCTCCTTCTCTTCTTTCTGAAATGTGGGTATTCCCACAGCTAGTGCATCCTGGGTGAGAATTCAGGGGCATCGTGGGTGTTAGATCATCTTTGACATTGCGAGGCCTTGCACAGGTGAAAGAAGGGTCAACTGCTGATGTCTTTTACGGTCATCATCGGGAGCCTTTCTTCCCACCATTGTGCTGGGGTTGGGAACCCGACTGGCCAGCCTTGGAAACCCTCGGAGGAGAGGATCTTTGGGTTTTAACATCAGTCACAGTGTGGCCTGGGGGCAGTGTGGTTAGCCTGGACTCAGAGGCCTGGCTTCGACCTCCATGTTTGCTGCTAACCAGCTCTGTGGTTTCAGGGCAATACCATTCCCCCTGGATCCTGTCTCTGCGCTGTGAAGTGCAGCTGATCCTTGTACGGGGTCTTGATTAGCTGGGAAAGTTCTTTGAGGTTGCATTCACCCCCTACTTGGCTAACTAGTCAACTTCCCTTCTTAGGCTCGGTGAGGACATTTGGGAAGGGGTCTGGAGACAGAGGCTGGGAATCGGGGTAAGGGCACAGTGGGGGACAAGGGACAAGGCCCTGGCTCTCACTCTGATTCACTGTGAGGAGGTCGGATACTTTTGCAAACCTGTCTCCACTCCTGCAACACGGAGCCAGCCAGGCATGCCTTGTGGCGGCACCGTGGGAACGCACAGGCTTCTGGATGTGAACACAGCAGGCCGAGTTGAGGGGTAATGTAACATATTTATTAACAGATAACAACAAAACAATAAGCTCATGCAGGCAACTGTTTAGGTCTTTGTTATAAGGTCTCGGTCGCTTTGTCTGGACTGGCGGTGACCTTCAGTTCTGGGGTCTGGGCTAGGAAGACGTTCCAGTGACCTGCATGGAAGAAGGCAGACAAGTCATGTGTGTGTGTGTGTGTGTGTGTGTGTAGGCACTGGGTGTGCCAGGGTTTGGAGCCCACCGAAGAAGAAGGTGGGTGTCTCCACCAGACAATTCTGGTATGGAGGGAGCCGAACTTCGACCCCTCTACTTCTGTGGGTGGTTTCCTGATACCTGTTGTCCCCTCCTCCTCCTGCAGGCCTACCTGGGCCCACCTGCCTAAGTGCACTGTAGAGAAAATGAAGGGCAAGCAGATGAACGTGGCTAGAAGGACCTTGGAAGTCCTGTCCCGCCATCCCAGGAGAGATGTTCCCAGAGAGAGGGATCAGGCAGCGCTGGTGGCTGGAGCCTCAGATGGGCCCCTGGCAGCCCCCTCTTCCCACCACTCCTGAGTCTAAATCCGGGCAGCTTTGCTTCACTTTCCCGCTCAGCTCAGCTCACTGAGTTGGGAAATCTCTGGCTCAGACACCCACTGGATTCCTGTGACGGGAACTGATGTCTGTGGCTGACAGGCCCCCCCTCAGTGGCTCCTCCTCCTGTCCTCCCCTCCCCCCGACAGCTTGGAAACTCCCCAGAGGCTCCTTCCTCTATCCCTGCACTTGTCCGCCCCCCCACCCCTGGCCCCAGGTTCCACCTTCGTGGGTGCTGGTGAGCAGTCGGAAGTGCTGGGCCTCTTTCTGGAAGTCTTGCTTCCTGACCTTCTTGACCTGAATCAAGTGGAAGATTCCTGAGGGCAGAGACAAGGGCGTGAGAGGACGTCCTGGTCCGAGAATGCCTTCATGTGGCACTGACTTGGTTGCCTCCCTCCCCACCTCCCATTGGATCTGATGCCACATCCGGTTGATCCCTGTTCTTAAATGTTTGGAATGGCTCCCCCACCCCACTGCCGCCCTCCTCCTTCAGCCCCACTGCGTCTCCCCTAGACTCTGAGCTCCTTCTCCACCCTGTCTACTCCATGATCCTAACCAGTCATTCAAACATGGGCACGCCCCCCACCATTCCCCAGCCCTGACCTCTTCTTGCTGCCAACGGTGACCTGACCACCAGCACCATTCTGTCCTTGCCTGGCTCCTCTGTCCGCCATGTAGGAAGGAGGGAGCGGGGGAGTAGGGAGAGGAAGAGCAGACTAAAGGGAGGGAGGGAGGGAAGAAAGGACAGAAGGACAGATGGACCCCTCAGGATTTGTGAAGAGTTTCTCTGGACATAGAACTTGAGATACAAATCAGTAAGTGAAATTATTCACACCCCCAAAACATTAACAAGAGTTTGAGTACTGGCCCATTTCAGCCCAAGGCTCAGTTCACCTCAACACCGAGTGGCCTTGCCCAGGCACCAGCCAACAGCAGCTCCATGAAGGCCCCTGAGGCCTTGGCTTGTGCCATTCCCTTGGCTGGAACACTGTCTACTAGTAGCCTGGCCCCTCCAATGAGCTCCTAGTCACCCTGCACTCCTTAGCCAGGAGGGTTTCCTTGGCCCACTCCCTTAGGCGTGATTAACTTCCTCCTGGGGGCACTTGTAACACGTGGCTTTTATTTGTCTTGCTATGATCTCGAATGCCTCTCACTGTGTCTATTCCTGTCTCTTCTGTTAGACTGGGAACCCCTCAAAGACATTGGTCCCCGGGGCTACCAGAACCTGACCAGCATTAACCAACCAACCTATCAAGCACCAACCCACAGCCATTGAGGCCATGCTGGCTCATAGTGCCTCTACTTAGGGTTTCGGAGCCTGCAAATCTTCCGGAAACACAAAGGCCTCATCTTTCCACCACAGAGCACCTGGTGGGTTTCCACTGCCAGCTTTGTGGCTGGCAGTCCACTGTTTGCCCGACAGTGCCAGCAGGACCCCATGACCCACCTTCAGCACGTAGAATAGAGGGGGACTCTCTAGATGGTTGGGTGGTGGGATGGATGGGTGGGCATCCAGATGGATGGGTACATGCAAAGGGTCTCAGAATGCTGGTGAAAGAATTCCATTATCTTCGCCTTTCATTTTCTCGTGCACCCCCCCCCGCCCCCCATGTGTCTGCCTCAGCCAGTCCCTGAAGAGGACCGATCCCCTGATGTTTGTACCCCACAGAGTGCCGGCTACCAGGCTGGCACCTGGCACTGAGGCTTGGTGCACCTGGGCTGTGAGATGGAGCCAGCTGTTGCCACCAGGGTCTGCAGCCAGGAAGAGCAGGTGCAGCCTCTGCTAGGCCAGCACCGCCCTCGAGAAAACCACCAGCTTGCCCTGTGGATGGGAACTGGAAGGGGAGCCTAGAGAACACTGAACGGGGTCGTGAGTTTCGGGAACCAGGGAATGTCCACACTGCCCTTGGGACCCCAGATGCCAAAGATGAGGCTATGAGAGGCCTGCTCCAAAGGCAGGCGGGCGGGGAGTGCCCACTCAAGATCTGGATTCACTCAGACCTGCAGGGGCTACTGCACACAGGCAGACGAGCCGGGAGCAGTGCTTCTGCTGGAGCACAGGGCCTGCCTCTGGGACTGCACGGGCCACGAGACTGACACCCTGGAGAGGAGGTGACAGGTAGGATGGTGAGTCCCCACACTGCAGCTGCAAAAACTCACTGCCATCGAGTCAAGGCTGACTCACAGTGAGCCCCTGTGCCTTTCTGAGACTGTCACTGTTTACGGGAAGAGAGAGTCCAGTCTTTCTCTCGTGGAGCTGCCCTGGTGGTTTTGAACTGCCAACCATGTGGATCACAGCCCAACCGGAAACCAAAGTGTGCCTGAAAGGACTGGGCTTTTTGACGTGGAATCAGAAACTCGACCAAGGGTCATGGGTGTGCCTCTCGCCCTTTGGAGAGTAGCGCCACATCTGATGGACAGCTTGGCTCAGTGGCCAGACCCCCAGGTCAAAGCTGCCACTGGTGCCTGCGTCCCAGGTCAGACTCAGCCCATGGGAAGAAACCCTCTGGGCTGAGCACTCCCCACGGTGTGGGAAGGCATCACCTGTCTGGGCTGGGAGTGCAGGTGGCTGGAGACCATCAGGGAACCTCCTGAACGGGGGCTGCTGCCTGAGGCAGAGGTTGAGCAGCCCCCTCTTCTCTGAAACTTAGGAATCTAAAAGGCCCTGAACCCTAAGCTCTTGGCTCAGACCCCGGCCCACCTGTGGCACAGCCCAGCCGCCCCAGGTTTTACCTGCTCTCGCATTCCATGCCAGCTCCCCCTTCCTCTCCCAGCCCCCATACTTGCTGTGGCCATGGTTTTTGAGTAAGTCAATAGAGTGAGCATTTCCCATGAGGAACAGGTTCAGGGAGTGTTGGTTTTGACTCCCAGCGTAGGGGGTGGAGAGGGCAGCTGATGGGGTGTGCAGGCAAGCCCAGGAGGTCAGATGTGGAGCAGGCTTGCTGTTGGCAGGTGATGGGGCAGAGGAGGGCCGTCATCGGACTTGGGTTTGGATCTTGGCTTGACTGCTTCAACTGTGTGACTTTGTACAGGTCATTTCACCTCGCAGACTCAGTATTCTTATCTGCTAAGTGGGGGCATTCGTGCCCCTCCCCCTCTCGGGTTTATCAGGAAGATTAAATGAGGCACCTTCTAGCAAAGTCTTTGCTCCAGACTAATCCCAGACCACAGAGTGTAGAACAGTGGTTCTCAACCTTCCTAATGCCATGACCCTTTAATACAGTTCCTCATGTTGTGCTGACCCCCCAACCATTAAATTACTTTCGTTGCTACTTCATAATCATGATTTTGCTACTGTTATCAATCTGGCGACCCCTGTGAAAGGATTGTTCCACCCCCAAAGGGATCGAGACCCACAGGTTGAGAACTGCTGGTGTGGAGCCATGGGCTTTAGAGACAGAGGTGGAGTCTGTTGTCACCACACTACCCATAATGCACCCCTCTTTGCCTCTTTAATTCCTATCCTGCCCCAAGCCCATCCTCCATGAAGCCTGCCCTGCCCAGCTTGGCCAGCCCCTGCCCAGGAATGGATGGATAGATGGACTGCCCGGCCCTTGCTAAAGGTGCTCCCTCCTTCCTTGGCACTGTGGGGAGATGCCAAGTATGACCAACCTCTTTCCCCCACTGAGTGAAAGGCTGCCTCTCTATAGCTCCCATCGATTGGTGGGTGGAATGAGAAAGATGCTGATGTTTTTAGTGCCTGTAGGTCAGGGCCGATTATACCACTACAATTCCTTTTGCCACCCCCCACCCCCAAACAGAAGAGAAAGCGGAGGCCAAGAGAGGTCAAGTGACGGCCTGAAGTCACACAGCGGAGATGGGCAGAGCTGGGGTTCAAACGCGGTTGTGTCTGTAATCCCATGCCCCTGCTTCTTGTTCTGGTCCCTGCGGTCACTCAGAACACAGCAGCTGCTCCCTCTGCCTGGGGCAGCCTTTCAGAGCCACGAAGCAAGCGGCGAAGCCTGTCCCCCCTGAGTCCTCTCTCTTCTCCAGGCTGACCAGCTCCATCCACTCTCTTCATCCACTCCTCCTACAGCAGGGGCAGAGCAGAGCGGGGAAAGCGCCGCAGCTGAGGTCACGGGACAGGGGCTCTAGCTCCCACTCCTCTACTTACTGGCTGTGTGGCCTTGGGCCAGGTACTTCACCTCTCTGAGCCTCAGTTTCCTCATCTGTAAAATGAGGACAATAATGCCTAACTCTCAGGATCCAACGAGATCAGGAAGGCGAAAGCACTTTGTAAGCCGGGCAGCGCGACTCACGCGAGCTGCCGTGCTCATGATCCCCATTCTTATTGGACTCCCTCCTCCACCCCCGGCCCCAGCCTCCGTTGATTTACACCAAAGGACCCAGTGTGGGCCATGTGGCTTTGAACTGCCAACCTTTGGGCCAGTAGTCAGGCGCTTAACCATCTGAGCCACCCGAGGGCCTTTGCTATAAATGAGCCATTGCACCAAACTGTCGGTGATTTCTTCTTGATCTTCAGTTGGTGAACCGATGTTGGATAGGGTGTGATTCTCACAGAATGAGAAACACAACCTCGCGTGAGTGTAAACGTCACTACCAGGGGCGGGGGCTGCCATGGTAGAAGGCCCTCCAGCTTTGAGGCTACTAGGTAGGAGGCACTCTTGCCTAAAACAAAAATCTCTCTTCCCCAGGTGCGGAAATTCCGCCCTTGGAAACCAGGTTCTTTCATCCGGGCCAGGATTCCTTTCAAGGTGTAACAACTGCTTCCCCCCAGGAGAGGGCGCACGTGGAGGCCTTGGCACCTCGCAAGGGCCTTGATCAGAGCTCTCACTCACTCCTTGTCTCCCTGCAGCTCGGAGTCAGGGACTTTGACACCTGGGAGGGTGGTCAGCAGCACCTGTTCACCGTGACATCCCTAAGGGCCACTTGGAACCTGGAACGCAGGAGCTGGGGGCGGGCCAGAGGCTCACCTTTCACGAGCTTCCAGAGGTAGATCTCCACCTGGTCGGAGGCCTCACGCTCCAGGGCGAAGCGGCGCAAGTTTTCTGGGCTTGGGGACGCTGACGTGTGGACGACAAGCCGGCTGGGCACCTTCGGACACCTGGTGGCATTGATCTCGCTGTGGCCAGGATCCGCTTTGTCCTCTGGGAGAGACAAGGATCTTGGCAGTGCTCTGGTTCCCCATCCATGGAGGCCCAGGGAAGAGGGCCACAGCTCTGACATCCCCCCATCCCCAGGTGTCCTGTGGCCCTGGGAAGAAGGGGAGAGGGGGCAGCTCCCCCAGCCACCCCCCCTTGATTTGCTCATCAGAAAACGGCTCATCCTTCAGGGCTCAGCTCCCCTTTCACCTCCTCTAGCCGCCTGCCTGGACCAGTTCGGCCCTCCCTGCCCTCTCCCACCAGAACTTTTCAACAGCCTCTTGCTAAAGAATATTGGTTATGGCCACTCCGCAGGACTCATGAACCGGACGCCACTGGATGGTATGCATGAAAAAGACGAAGTTGGTGAATATTGTGTTGGTCCTAGATAGAGGTGTAACAATTCAAGGAAACTTACTGGGAGGAAAAAAATTAAAAAAACAAAACCAGCTCTTTCTTACTTAGGCTACTCACCCATTCCCCTAGCCCCAGGCACGCTGCCCTGCTTTATAAGTGCTCTAACAGGGATGCCCATCTAAAGAAGGGGCAGGCACGCAGCGTCCTGCTTCCCGTCACACCGGGAGGCAGAATGGCGCCTGAGGAGGTACCATGACTTGTGATGGAGGGGGCGGTGGGAGTGATCCAGACAATGGTGACCTCAGGGGTGAGTGATGGTGGGGGTAATGCGATGGGTGCCCAATTGGACCCCTCCCTAAAGCCTTGATGTCCTGGCAAGCCAAGGACACTCCTCAGGACGCCCGTGTACCAATGCTCCCCAGACTCTCGGGGACTGCAGGACCAGGTCCCTACCCCAAGTCCCTGTTAGACTCTTACTAATCATGAAGTCTGGTCAGATGTCTCACGGAGATGTGCAGGCTCGCCTCAATCTTTTCTCAGGGAAAAGGACTCGGATTGGGATGGAAGTCAAGACCAGGGGTGCGGAGAGAAGGAGCCTAGAGCGAGCTGGTCCCCAAGAGAATCCACGTGGGACTCTCACCTCTCCCTAGGCTCCAGGTCTCACTCTGCTGTGCTCCCTCTGGGTCCCTGCACAGTCCCAGGCCGCCCAGACAAATTAGCGTGGTCCTTTCCAGTGGCAGGATTTTGATCTGTAATCCCCAAAGCATGTCTATCGATTCCAGGTCTGGGGCTCAGAAAGGTAAAGTAACTCGTCTGAGCTCCTAAAAGTAAATGAGGGAAGTCCAAACTCAAGCAAGCAACTCAAGTATCCTGACTTTTAAAGACAGGAGAGATGGAGTCTTCAGGTAAATGGAATCGCTCCGTTACCTCGTTGGTGGTGTCACTGTGTTGTGAGGGTTGAACCACACGTGAGTCACGGTACAATGCCCGGCACAGGCATGATGTTTGTTGCAAAGGTCATTCCTTCTCTCTCTCTCTCTCTCTCTCTTTCCACCTCCCCCTTTCCCTTCCTTTCAGAAGTCTAGGGCCACACAAATTGCTAAGTGCTGGGTTACTAGCACTTTGGATGTTCAAAGCCACCCAAGGCACCTTGGAGATTCAGCCACCTGGTGATCTGCTTCCAGAAGGTCCCAGCCTTACAGCCCTATGGGATTGTCCTGAGTTGGAATCAACTTGAGGGCAACCGGGTCCCCGTCTTCCTTTCACTGTTGCCCGTCCTAACCCTCGAAGCCAACCTGGCCAGGGCCCGCCTCTACTCTTGCCTTCCACCCGCCTTGCCTTCCATGCGTCCTGCCTTCCTGCCTGGCGCGTGGAGAACGGGCTGGAAACTGGCACTAGACGCTGTCTCACTGAGACCAGCCTGTGGGCTTCTTCGCAGACCTGGTGACTCTTGGGTCATGTGACACCGCAATGCACACTGGAAGCCAGAGTTGTAGCCATAGGACCTGGGAGCAGGTAACTTATCATCTCATTCTGTAACGTGGAAATCCAGGTACCAACTCTGTCCACTACAGAGAGGATCCAATTGACTCATGCTTGCCAGACCGGAAGTGACTGGTGAACCAGGGGGATCTCTCCGAACACACGTCCCGGCAGGCTCAGATTTCATGACTTCACAGAGGGAGGCCAAACATGATCTCACTCCACGCAGGTCTGCGCTGCGCTCAATCTACTTCAGCAGCATTCGATGGCTCTGTGAATCTCGCCTAAGCTTGTCTCTTTCCGTTCCCGTGCTCCATTTGTCCTGGCCTTCTAGAAGCCCTGAGTCCGTGACCCGCCATGTCTGAGGATGTTCCAAGTGCCTGTGGTCCTAGGCCTTGGACTACAGGGCTCCCGCTGGTCTGGCCCAGCCGCTGCTCACCCTCCTGCCCCCACCCCCCACCCCCAACCCCAGTGCCTCTTTCTACCTGGGCAAATCTTGCAGCACTTCCCGGCCACTTTCTCTGGGTGATGGCAGGGGTACTCGGTTGGGCAGGTCACTCGCTGGCAGTCCTGGCGGCCGTCCTGACAGGTACACAGGATGCAGGGTAGGGGCCCGAAGGCACGGAAGGCCGGGTGCCACACCTCTCCGTGGGAGTAGGTCTTCCCACTGTGCACGCAGGCTGCAGGGAGGAGGGCGGGCAGGGAGGAGGGTCAGTGCCTCAGACCAGGCCAGAGCCTCCGGCCCAGCAATGAGTAGGGCCTTGGGGAGGCTTCATTCCACCATCTGACCCAGCCACCGTGCCTGCAGATGGAGGCACCCCTGTTAATGACACCCCCTTATCTCAGCACTCGGGGTGGGGGGGCCTCAGTAAGTGCTTGCTAAAGATGGAGAACCCTCCCCCTAGCCTTCAGGAGGCACCTCTGGAGAAGGTTGGTCAAGCGTCTATGGCTTCTGCCTGTGAGAACGCTGGCCGGTCTCTCCCTTTCTCAGCCATAGCGACCCATGAACAAAGTGGAATGGGACTCAGTGGTCTCCACGGTCCCTCTTATCCCACCCATCAGCCTGCTCGGAGACATCCTTCCTCCCCTCTGCTGCAGAGCTGTGGGCCAGGTGGCCTTCCCTGCTCTAGCCCGACTGGCCTCCTCCTGCCCAGCATGCCCTCGCCTTCCTTTGTCACAAACGTTCCCTCAGCACCTCCGTCTATCAGCCTTGCATTTCCATCCGGCTCCCTGACCAGTCTCTGAGACCCTCCAGGGCAGGCAGGGAGCATCCTTATTTCCCCCATTGGCTGGCAGAGATACAGAGACGGCCCAAGAAGAGCTGCTGCTCGGACCGTGGCCTGGGCGCCGGAGTTCCCATCTTGGTTCTGCCTCTAACTCCACCCTCGGGAGCCTAGTGTCTTCATCTACCGGATGGGCGCTAGAGCCGATCCTTAAAGGGTCTGCTTCCATGGTGATGTGGTGTGGGTCCACAGTGCTGTGGTTCACAGAGTGGGGTTGGCAGCCATGGGCGAACTGCCCAGTGGAGAGTGGCAATCAGAGAGGTAGGAGCAGCTGGGGTCCCCTCCCTACCCCGTGTCGTCGTTCCCCCCCCCCTCCCCCCGTGTTGGAGGAGGTTCCAGTTCACACCTCTCTTATGTTTTTCCTTCAAGACAATCTTCACGGTGGTGCTGCCTGTCCCTTTCGGTCGGAAGTGGCGAGGGAGGAAGCCCAGAGGTGAGCTGAGGCCAGTGGGGGCGGGGGTGCTCAGGCCTCTCTTCCTCCCACCATCACCTGGGCACGGATCCTGGGAATGTCTCTGCAAATGAGCGGGAGGATGAAGACCACTGACTGAGTGCCGTGGGTCTCTGCTGGGTGGATGACCGGAGCAGGAGGCCTGAGGGGAACCCAATCAGCAGGGCTTCTGGGAGGTTACGCCTGCAGATGCTGGCAGACAGCACATCTTGAAAAGGCTCAGAGGAGAGTGATGGGGGAACTCATCCTGCAAGTGCTTCTCGGGCCCTGCCAAGGACCAGGGCCTTGGGATGGGAGTGGGAGGGGTGCTGCGGTCTTAGCCTGGGAAACACAGCTGACCAGGGACCGGGACAACCAGGTGGTGGGGAATGTAGTGAGGCTTAAAGCAAGGAAAGTTCTGACTGGTGCTGGGCAGTGGCAGGCCAGTAGAGAGGAGCAAGTGGGAGGAGGACCACAGGCCAAGGCTTGCTGCCTCTCCTGTTGACCCCAAGTCCCTCTTATTTTGACTCCTACAGCCAGTTCCTGCCCTGTCCGGCCTTCGAGTTCATCCTTGATGGCCCCAAAATCTGAGCCCAGAAGACCCCTTTGGTGTGACCCCCTTACCAGTCCACACACATAGGAGGTTTCCTGGAAATTCCAGTCAAGTCGAATATAAACAAGCAGGTATGGAAGAGTCCAGCCCCTAAGGGTGGCTTACCCAAGTCATCCAACTCAACAACCCCCTGCCACCGAGTCACTGCTGATTCATGGTGAGCCTGTAGGACAGGGTAGAACTGCCCTGTGGGGTTCTGAGACTGTAACACTTCACAGGAGTAGAAAGTCCCTTCTTCCTGACCTTGCCATTGGGAGCCAATTCATAACCACTAGGTCACTAGGGCTCCTGCGGCAGGTCAGTAACTAGCTGACCAGGGCCTGGAATTCAGCCTGGGTGGTGTACTGAGCCCAGTGCCTTCTAGGAAGAGGGTGGGAAGCAGAGGGAGTAGGGTGGTTTGGTTTCTGCAGCACTGGCTCCTGGCCAAGAAGGGCCAGCATGGGAAGGGGTAGGGGACAAGCTGGCAGAGGAAAAAGAGGCGCAGTAGCTCCAACCCATGGGGTGTTCGTGGGGGAGGGCAGCCCAGCTTCCGGTCCTCCAGGGACCAGGTGAGCCAGGCTGCAAGAGGAGGTGGAGTTGTTCATGTTGAAGATGTACCACAGATGGCAGGGAGAGAACTGGATGGAGTGTGTGGGTCCCTTCCCCACCTGTTCCTTCGCAGATGAGAGGGAACTGGGCAGCGAGGCCACCACTCCGTATATGAACTCAAGATCAAGACCAAGCGGGGCCACGCTAGAAGGGAGCAGAGAGGGGGAGCCCGACATAGGAGTGGGTGAGGAAAGCTAGCCCAAGTCACAGGTCATTCCCTCTCTAGAGGCCTGAACTAAGACCAGACACACATCCCAGATGGAGCAGCATCCAAGACGCTCCCAGGAGCTAACTCAGGAAGTTTGGGCCTGTTCCTGCCCTGGGTGAGCTACAAAGGGGGTCTGGAACTTGGGGAGGGCCAAGGTAGCTGACCCGGAAAATAAGTGAGAAAAGAGAACAAGGAACAGTCTTGCCTGCTGTAGAGCCATGGAGATTTAGGCCTTGGGTACCTGCTCCCCCTCCCGGCCTCCCGCCTTCCTTCCTTTCTCCACACTCCCCCCTCCCCCCCTCAGTACAGCTGGCACTCACCACCCCACGATGCGACTGCATGCCATCTGCTTCGGCTGGTTTCTCACTGGACTCATCTGGAAACCCAAAGGGAAGCTGGGTCAGCCTGAACCGCCTCAGCCTCACTGGCAGGTGTCCTGCAGGTTGCCGCTTATAGACCCTGCCCTTCCGGGGCCTAGAGCCCCTCGGTAGGTAGCTCCAGACCTCCAGAAGGGCCCTTGGCCCAGAGGGGATATACTGTTGCTGCTCACTGTTGCCTCCCGTCGCCTGTGGGGCACGCTGAGTCCTGATGGACGAGCACTTGCCTTGCTTTCCCCAGGCTGACCTCCTGGGCCCCACTGGGCCGGAATGGCCGCTGGGCCAGAACACCTTGCTCCGTTGTGACTGAGAAGTCATCCCTCTGGGAGAGCAGGCCAGCCCTGCAGCCAGTCCCCCAGGCACCCATGCTGAAGTCACCATGACACACTCCCCACCCCCAGGATCCTCTGCCCCTTCAGCTCTAATCCCCCCAAAGCCTCTACCTCTCCTTCCCCTGGAAACCAGCAACGCCCCCCTGTGGAGCTCTGCACTTCCCTAAGGTCCTGAGTCAGATTCTGTCTCCCTCGTCCCGACCCACTGGGCATTCCTGCCTCAGAGACCCAGAAGGTTGGGATTAGACAGGCCAGCAGATGTCACCACGGCCGAGCCGCCGTCAGTGTCTACAGGGAGCAACTGAGGCCCAGCGTGGGAATGAACTTGCAGGAGCTCACAGGAAATATCAGGAGCTGACTCCTAGTCCACCACACTGACATGGGACAGCAGTCTCCTGTGGCTCCCCCACCACCAGGTGGACACTGTGCCCTCCAAGCAGCCGCCTGAGCCCACGGGGAATGGCCCGCCACAGGGGCACTCCATCTGCGCCAGCCTTCCTGGGAGGACACACAGATCTCTCTGTTCCACACCTGGATTTAGCTCAGCTGACACGCTCTGAGCCCCCGTGAGCCCAGCCCTGTGTGACAAACGAAGCTCAGAACGGGAAATAGAGTCCTGCCACGGCTGATCCTGTTGGCCTCAACTGATCCCAAGGATGAGGTCCGTTGCTGCAATGCTCAGCACTCCCCAGGCTCCAACTCAGCCTGGCAGCACACCCCTCATGCCCTTGGCTCAGGGTCAGCCCCTCATCCCCAGGTCTCCCACCTCCCACTTACCCCAGCCCAGTCTCCCTGCTCAGGCCACTCCTGCCTCCTGCTCCTGGCTCTCCCACACATGCACGCCCAACAGAGCAGCCTGAGACATTAGCATCCTTTGGCCAACTGGAGTTGGGCGGCTGGTGGGTAGGCCTTTTAGCTTCTCCTCTGCCATCCCAGGCTTCTGTGAGGAGCAGACCATCTGGGAGCCAGCAGTCAGCTTGCTGTCAGGAGCTGCTCCACCCACAGCACATTCCTGGGCTGCCTCTCCCTCCATACCTCCTCCCCTCCCTCCTGCGTCCTGGGATTGCACTAAAAAGTAGATGGCCTGTCAGCTGCCCATCAGAAGGCCCAAGGTACGATGCCGGCTCTCAGGCCTGGAGGAAGGAATGGCCTGACACTTGCTGGGTGTTCCTTGAGGTTCAGCCTCTGGCTAAGGCCATGGGGTGAGGATCGGCTCTGCCAGGTCTTGGCGTGAACTCACCTTTGCAGGACCGGCAGCAGGAGTCAGGCAGCGGGAGGGGTGCAGGGCAGCCTGGTTCAGGGCAGGTCATGAGGCCACAGTAGATCTGGCCTTCCTGACAGAGCAAACAGGGGCTGGAGAAGGCGCTCTGGTGGGCCAGCCTCGGGGGACAGGAGCCAGCCCTTCCCTGGAAGCCATGGCTGGGGCAGAAGGGCACCCCCTGGGCAAGGCCTGGCTCCGTGGGAAGGAGTTCCCTGTACCCTTCCCGCTCCAGGCCTGGAAGCAACATTCATTCTCCAGCATTCAAAGCACTTGCACACCCAGCTGCGGCCTGGCTTCTTGCTGAGGTGGGAGCCTCCCCATCCCACAGGGGGCAGGATCAGGGAGATAGGGGAGACAGGTGGGTAGGGAAGAAAGGACTAGAGCCCGGGCTTCAGGCTTCCGCCCCTGGAATCTATGTCCTTCTCCCCGGGCCTGAACCAGGAGCCCAGCACAGGGGAGAAGGAAAGGCAGGTAGACCAGGGGCTCATCTTCCCCTAACCCTCCAACTTTAGGACTGGACTTGAAGAAACAGGACTGCAGGGGCCAGGGCCTGTTTTCTGTGCATCAGGAAGCCAGATGACCTCTGGTGAGTGATTTCTCTTCTCTGGACCTCAGTTCCCTCCTCTGTGAAACGGGGGTGCTCCCAGCTTTGTTGTGAGGACCAAGTGAGGACAATGTTTGCGAAGCCCCCTTTTAAACCGTAAAGCACACAGGAAGTGCTGGCCTTTCCCAGGAGCCTGAGAAGAAAGGGTTCTGACCTCTCAGATGCAGTTGCGGGGAAGTCAGGCCAGTCCCCCGGAAACAGGGGTGAGAAGCCAAAAGAAGGAGAAACCTAAGTATCCAGGGAGAAGGATGACCTCTCCAGCCAGAGTCTCTGGGCATCTAGGCCAATGGTATGGTGCCACCACAACTGGTCATTCAGCGGACCAGGTCCTGATTAGAATGGGAGAAAAACGTAGACCAAGACTCACATTCTCATCCAAAGACCAGACTTACTGGTCTGACAGAGACTAGTGTCACCCAAGACAATCTCCCTAAGACAACCTTCTAAACAGGGAACAGAAGACACCCAGAGGCCACCTCGCAGTAACAGGCTGCTAGAAGAATCAGTAACACTTTCAAGGGATGCTGTCCTAAGAACATGAGCTATATGAGGCCGCATGGGTTAACTTTGCTCCCAAACAAAGACGAAAACAGGGAATCCCGCGTAGAGATGAGGAGAGGGCCAACACACTGCGCAAATTGCAACCAACGTCCTGGAACAATGTGGGTATGAATTCTTGAATGAAAGACTAATTTGCTGTGCAAACTTTCACATAAAAACACAAGATGTTGCAAAACAAGAAAACGGAATGCCCTCCCACCTCCCTGCTGTCCTAGGCCCTCCCAGAGGAGGCCAGTGTGAGTCCAGCTCCGTGGGAAGCAGCACAGAGCAGAGGCGAGAACAAGGGGGTCATGGCGGCCTCCAGCCACTCACTGGCTCTGTGGTCGGTTACCTAGCGACTCAAAGCCACAGTCTCCTTACGTGCAACACAGGGAGAATGATGGTCTGCTAGGGCCGACGGGACACTGTATCTGTGTATGAACCCAAACCTAGTCAGTACAAGATGCCATATACAATATACTAGATCATTTCAGGAGGCTCATCTCTTGCCCCCCCCAAAAAAAAGCTCTTTCAGTCGACTTATCAGTCGTCATGCCCTATTTGTAGGCTGTTTGTTCTGCAGCACAGGTAACGTAGGCTTCAGAGTCCTGGGTGGGGTCCTGAGGTCGTTCCCTAGGGATGTACAAACTCTGTGGCTCACGCCATCGGAAATGTATTCTCTGGCAGTTCTGGACTCCAGGTGCTGGCAGGACCAGGCTCCCTCCCAAGCCTGGGGTGGGGGTGGGGCTCTTTCCTGGTCTCTTTCAGCTTCAGGCAGTCCCCTGTGTTCCTTGGCTTGGGGCAGCACTGCCCATCTGGCCTCCCACCATTGTGCTGCTGTGTCTATCTGCGTCTCTTCTCTTCTTATAAGGAGACCAGTCAAGTTGGGTCAGGGCCCACCCTAGTGACTTTAAAGTAATTTGATCACGTCTACAAAGACTCTATTTGCAAATAAAGTCTAGCCACAGGAACCAGGAGGTCGGACTCTAACGTATCTTTTGGGGGAGCACAATTCAACTCACAAAAGACCGTTTCACTGAAAAGATGGGCAGGGAAGGCCCGAGAGAGGCGGTTTGCTCCAAGTCATACAGTCAATCATGGCAGGGCTGCGTGGGTCTTTTCAACACCCGTGGAAAGGTGGTGTTACCTGTGTGTCACAGCTCAATCAAATAATGGTTTTAAACAGAGAGGATGTTAAGGACCCCTTGTGTACCCAGAGGAACCGAGGTCCAGAGGCATTTGCTGATTAGGCAGTAAACAAAACAGGAAAGCCAGAGCTTCAACTGCCCATGCAGAGATAAGACGCTAAGTCCAGAGGGGATGGGTGATGTGCTGAAAGCCCCTTGCAAACCCCCAGCAGGACTGCACCAGAAGCGGGGAGAACAGATTTTCCTGATTAGCTCCTGCCTGTCTCTGCTAGTAGCCAAGTCAACCCTGGCTGTCCCTAGACCCAACCCTCCGCACAGACAGGAGGAGTTCAAGCAGCAGCTTCAGATGCAAGTCTGTGCTACAAACTAGTCTGGCGTGTCGCTGGGTCATTCACTCTCTCATTCATTCATTCATTCATTCATTCATCGGGACAGCATCCTCTGTGTGCCAGGAAGCAGCAGAGAATTCAGAAATACAGGGCGTATGTTCCCTCCCTTTGAGAAGCGCAGCGTTTAGTGAGGGAAAGAGACATGGGCAATGTCATTGCCAGAGGGACGACCAGTCCTCTAACAGAAGACGCTCAAGAGGGGATGGGAGCCCAGGGGACAGGGACGGGCACTGGACTCAGTGAGGGCCAGGATACTCCAAACCCCTCTGCTGCCAGATGTTCCCTCCCCATGAGTCTATGCACGCTCCCTCTACCGTTGCCCCCACCCCAGTCCACCCACTGGCTTGGGCCACGGGGACAGTGGAAGCTCTCACGGTGCAGCTGCAGAGGACACACTGGTTGGGCAGGCGGGAGGGGAACAGCTCCCGGGCACTGAAGAGCTCGCCATGTTGGTACATGGTCCCGTTGTGCTGGCATGATTTGGGGGGCGCCCGGAGTCCCGAGGGAGTGTGAGGTTCTGCAGGTAGGCAGGGGGAAGAAGAAAATGAGGCTCCCCATGGATCGAAGAGCTTTGTCAGAATTAACCAGGCAATTTCTCTGAGCAGCTCACATTTTAGCCCACGTTGGCATTTCCTGCTCCCCTCCCCACTTGTTAAACACTCTTTATCATGAACTGAGTGAAGGTCTATAAAGCAGATCATCAATTTTCCGTTCAACAATTGACACACATCGTGTTTCATCTCATTCACTGAAATCCCCTTGTCAGCAGCCTTGGAAAACGAAGATGGGGACCCTGCTGGTGTTTCAACCGAGTTCCAGACTCACCCCTCCAAGCATTCCCATGTCAGAAAACCAAGAGGTCCTGCGGAACCTATATCTGACGATGCCACCCTCTCACATGGTCCCCACCATGGCCTTCCAACTCCTCGGTATCTGAGATGACCCTGACCTTCAAAAAGAAAAGGCCAGAAGCCTCGGCTCCACCGGCAGGTAGGTCCCGAGTGAGTTCACTCCTCACTCGCCAGCACCCATGGAGTACCTGCTCGTGCCAGCCCTGACCCTACCTGAATGCAGTTACAGTCTCAAGGAATTAGCTGGGGATGCACTAGATCAGGGGTCCTCAAACATTTTAAACAGGGAGTCAGTTCACTGTCCCTCAGACCCATTGGAGGGCCAGACTGTAGTTTTAAAAAAAACAAACTATGAACAAATTCCTATGCATACTGCATATATCTTATGTTGAAGTAAAAAAACAAACGAGGCAAAAACATCCGGCGGGCTGGATAAATGTCCTGGGCGGGCCACATGTGGCCCGCGGGCCATCTTTTGAGGACGCCTGCTCTAGATTGCGAGCCGTAGTTTGAGGATACCTGCTCTAGATTGTCCCTGAGCTGGGTGTGAGCTCCTGTCACCAGAGCCCACCTCTCCATCACCCAGCAACCAGCCAGTCCTCCTGCAATGGACAAGAGTCGGCTTTGCACCTGAGAGAACGGAGGCTCATTCATTCGCTCGACACCTCTACCAGTCACCACGCTCGCACTGGGGGTGGGAGGGAGGCATAAGCTCAGCCTCGCCGTCAAGAATCCCACAACCGGATGGAGCAGAGACAAGTCACGGGCAGTGGGGGTTGGGAAAGAAGGGTATGTAGAAGCAGCGGCAGCATGAAGGAGGAGCCCCTCTAACTCTGCTGGGGAGCATTTCCTAAAGGGGCTGAGAGCCATACTGAGGCTCAAAGCGCAAGTAAACCCAAGCGTGCAAATGGACTGATGACGGAATCAGAGCACGAGTGGGGCATATCCCAGAAAGGAGGAGCCTGGGCCAGGAAGGCCTAGAGGGTATTCCCAGAATCAGGAGGGGGAAGTCTGTATGCAGACATACAGAAGGTGAGATGCCTCCTCACAGGGTTGGACCAAGCTCAGAGACCCTGCTCCCAAGGAAACCCAGAGTCAGGGATCTCTAGGACCTTGGCCAGATCCCCACTTAGATGGGGGTCTCACTTAGAAAAAAACGAGCCCCTCCACGTGTAAACCGGACACAGGTCTCTAGCTGACCAGGAAAGTCCTTGTCCCAGAGCCCAGGCCTAGGGCAAACCTTGGGAACCTCTGTTCATAGTGCTGCTAAAATGGATTCTCTTCTCAGCCCACGCCTAAGTCTACCGCCCCAGTGGCTGACCCTCCCTGGCCATTCACTGAATAAACGGGGATCTTTGCACACTGCTTCTCCTCTCTCACTCTCCCCCTAGACTCCCGTCTGTCTCAGAGAAACTTAAAAACCGTACAAGCACAGTCTGTTAGCATCAGCCCCCACGGAGGCCTAGAATCTCAACACTTACGGGTGCTTAGCATAGACTGACTGCAACTCAGCCCAGGGTGACAAATCCCTTGGCAGTTTCTCTATAGGGTCCCAAGTCCAAGGCCACCCACCTCCACTTCCACAGAGCACACCCATTCCCTCCCTCCAAGCAGGGCAGGCGGGGAGAGACTGAGTCCAAGTGTGCCCATCACATTTCACTCAGCCACTTTCCCCACTTTCTCCCTCCTCTGGCCACGCACACACCTGCCGAGGCATTAGACTTCGAGACAGGCTCTGCCTCGGCCTTCCGGGGTGTTTCCCCCCTGAGCATCCATCCTTTCATCGCCCCTCCTCACTGGGGATCAGAGAAGGGCCCAATGGCCACGGGGGAGGCTGGACAAGGGGAAGCGCGGCTACTTACCCACACACCTGGGACAGCACTGCTGTGGCTCCGTCACAGGCTGGGGGCAGTGGACAGGCGGGCAGTGGAGCCGGTAACAACTCACATGGGCACTCTGAAAGGGACAGAAGGGTCAGTTCCTCCCGGTGTGTTCTATTTCCCTCCTTCGTTTCTGGTCTTTCTCACTTTGTCCTCTGGCAAATGCTGCCCTGTTGCTCTTCAGGGAGAACGAAGGGGTTTTCTACTCCCAGAAAGACTTACCATCTCGAACCATGGTATAATATGACACTTGGTCAATTGACCTCCCTCTTGACCCAACCTGAATTTACCCTAGGCTCAAATATGTCTCGCTTGTTCCAAGACAGAAATTGCTTCTCGGACTTTTTGATAGTGGTCTTTCTTACTTTCTTATTTTTATCTTTATATTATTATTATTATTATTTTCTTCTTCTTGTTTCTTTTCTTTTTTTAAATTTTATTGTTTCTGTTGGGTTTCCCAGTTTGTGAAGCACAGGAGTAGAGGCAGAGAGACAATAACTGATGCAATGGTTTATCACCTTCAGGATGTGGGGTGGGGTGGGGGTGCTGGAGGGTGAGGGGACTTGGGGAGCAAACAATGAGTCAGGTGCGGGGAGGGAGCATTCGATTGTGATTGTGATGGTGTATATCCAACACTTTTCAAAAGCGATTTAACTATGGAAGTTATGATATGTGAATATATCACAAAAACTACTCAAAGGAAAAAAGAAACCAAACTGGACCAATGGTTACTATGGTGAAGGAGGAAGAGTTGTTGCTGGGGGGCATTGTCATGTCACTGGTCGTGGACCAATTGGAAAAGGACATCACTAGTGGTTGTACAACATGAAGAGTATCACCAGTGGCAGTGAAATACAAGTAGAGGTTGTGGAATAGGAGAATGTTTTGTTGTGTATATTTTTGCCACAATTTTAAAATATGACAGGAATAACACTGAGTACAAGGAAGAAAATGCTCTAAAACTGATGGTGGTGATGATTGTACAACTCTTCTTGATACGATTGAATTGTTGAATTGGATAAAGTGCCAATAAAATTGTTTTTAAAAAAAGAGAGACAGTCTGGGAAACCCAGAGGCACAGTTCCACCCTGTCCTATAGGGCGGCGATGAGCTAGCATTGACTTGATGGCAGGAAGTTCGGTTGGGTTTGGTTGAGCTTAAGTGGCTGAGTGTTCTAAGTTCTGCTTATAGATTTGTCTATTGTTTTGCTGAAAACTGAGTTCCTTGCCGGACGAAGGGCCACTCGCAGGGATTTCACCAGTCTGTATCTGGCCAGAAAATCTGGTCCCTGTTATGATTTTGAGTTCTGCTCTATATTTTTCTCCCACTCTACCCAAGACCTTCTAATAAGCGGTTGGTAGCGGGAGCCAGGCACCATCTAGTTCTTCTGGTGGGGCCAAGTGTTTTCCAGGATGCTGAGCTGCTCCCGGAGGTTGGCGCATGAACTCATTCATCCCCTCAGGGCCTGCTGTCACTCGCCCTCTCTGAGCCCCGGAGATAGAACAGTGAGTAAGGCTATAAAACAGGAACAAGATAACTTCAGATGTGAAGGCCATGATCTTAATAAGCCAGGAAAATGAGATTGCGTGGTTAGGGTTAGACAGTTTCAGAAGAGCTTCAGGGACAGGCCTCCACGTTTATGTTAAGAAGCGCAAGATCAGAGGCTCTGGGAAAACCATTCTGAGCAGAGAAATAAAACTGGGAATGAGTTTGAAGTGATGGAAGAAACTGACAGGAGACCGGAGTGGCTGGAACAGATAGAAAATGAGGTTGGCTATTAAGGCAGAAGCCAGATCACCACCTCACCCAGTGCCCATCACCCACAGCAAGAACTTTGCATTTCACTTTAGAAGTTATGAGAAGATTTTAAAAGAGGGATTACACCGTGTGCTTCATGTTCAAGCAAAAAAACGACTCAGCCGGCTGTATAGCGAATGTGTTCAGAAAGGGCCACGAGGAGACCCAGTTAGGAGGCTTATAGAGCAAGCCAGTGAAAGAGGAAGGGACCTTTGACCAGGGGGAGTGGTTACAGAAGGGAACAGTGAGTGACAGGAGGGGGGGGGGCGGGGAGTAACAACCCTTTAGTTGAGGATGAAAGTTATGCATGTACTCCGGGGAGAGGCGAAACGAGTTAGCTCCAATGGGTCACGGAACTTGGACTTTGTCAACTGGGCCATGTGATATGTCTGGAATTTTCTGTTATGGTTTCCTTTCTGTTGTCTGGCTATATTTCATAAAGTTCTTTCTGAAAAGGCTGATTAACCTCAGATGTGCTAAGGAAAACCCAGGCAAGGCAGTTGTGGGAGGGGTGTGTCCCGCTTTGGGTCAGAGTGCCACTTGGGGCCAACATGGTAGAAGCCGTGAGGAGTAGTGTGTGTGGGTGGGAGACACCATGGAGGCGGAGGCACCCTAGTGACCCAGTCAGGGAGATGCTGCCCCACTGTCCTGCATCCTAATGGGGAGCTCTTCTCTGCTCCCACCTCAGAGAACTTTGACCTTGGCAAGAGGGCTCTTACAGGCCATCTGCATTCCTGTCTTGGCTAGGTGCAGGAAAAGAAACGGGGATAGAGCTCAGGCTCCACTTGGGAGCTGTATACCCTCCCCCCAAGCGCCAACCTCAAAACCCGGAGAGAGCAGAGGACTTCACAGCAACCAGACTGGGCCCCAAGTGAAAGGCAGCACCTTTCAAATATCCGAAGTCCCTCCCCGCTTCCCCCGGCCCTCCAGCCTCATACCTGACCTGGGAACTCTGGATCACACATGGGGCTCGTTTATGTCCCAGGCAGGGCTCTGTGAAAGATGCTGGGAGGAAAAGGCATGGTCTTTGCCCCAGTGTGCCTTCAGCTTTCAGCAGACACCCATCCTGGCCATGATGAGCGAGGGCCAGGAAGACCTGTCCTCGGGGGCCGTCTATGAGGGGCAGTAACCCCTGGGCACAGACATGGCGGCCACAGATCCATTGTGATCGGAGAAAGAGACAGGGAGACATGTCTGCAAGCCCGGAAGGAACAGCATGTGTAGCTGAGGGTCCACACAAGGCGGCGTGGCACTGGATGAAGCATTCAAGAAAGGTTGGACTGAAAAAGGAAAAGAACCCAACTTGACCACCGGTGACCATGGGTGCAGGGGAGGAGTTAATGTCACTGGCAGTAGAATAATTTTGGAACAGGATGTCCATAGTGGTTGTACGACACCGAGGATCGTCAAGGGCACTGAATTATACAAGTAGAAGTTGTGGAACTGGAGGATGTTTTCTGGTGTATATTTCTGCCACAATGCTAAAAAAATAATTACATGAATAATGAGTACAAGGAAAAGGAAAATGTTCTAAAATTGGTTGTGGTGATGATCGTACAACTCTTGTTGATATGACTGAATTATTGAAGTGCATGACATGTGGATGAAATGCTAATGAAAGTGTTAAAGGTTTGGACGAGTTAGGCTGAAGGCAGTCATGGTTTGTGCCGATGGAGGAAGGGGAAGTCAGGTTGACCCCACCCCTCAGGGAGGGAGGCAGGCACGAGTGGGAAGGAAGGAGAAGGAAGTCTAGGATGAAAGATGGGAGACCCAGGTCAAGGGTGTGTGTCTTGACCTGGCCACTGACACACTGTGTGACCTCTAGCCGGGGTGTGTACTTCCAGGTGTTGAGTCTTCAGTAGTAACATGCCTTGCCCCAAGTCTCTCAGCTGCAGCTGGCAGAACCGGATTCTAGGGGTCTTGGTTCTCGAGTGTCCCTGACCTTCAGAGCTTCTGACTGTCCCTCCTCCCTCTTTGGTGACTTCTTGTGAGGTGTTTCAGACACACCTGATGCAGGCAGCCAGAGGAACCTACCTCAGAGCAGGTACAACGCAGGCAGTACATCAGGCCATGTGGCTCCAGGTAGGGGTGCCAGCTCTCACCAGGGGAATATCTCTTCCCATGGAAAAGGCAATACATGTCTGGGCCTGGAAAATCAATCAGTGCGAGGTTAGTCCCAGGAGGCTCCAGCCTCAGGACCCTGCCTCATCCCTCGTTCTTCCTGGCGCTGAGGACACCATTGGATCACCGGGCCTTAAGCGGATGTGCCGCGTGTGCTGTCCTGCACAGGGGTCAGGACATCTGTGTTTGAATCACCGCTTGAGAACACACTCGTTGTGTGACAGCACTGTCCCTTTCTGAGCCTCAGTCTCCTCCTCTGCGAGGTGGGGAGTCATGACTGAACAGCTGTCTCGGGG